CATGAAGACATTGGTCAATTTTATCATTGTCACCTCAACTTGACATCACGATGATTGAAGCTGGTTTACGTAAGCATATGAACAACTTAAAACAAACAGATGAGTAAAGGAAGGAAAATAAAACCAAGCTAAGGGCATATTTAGTGTATAAGAATGTGTGCCACAGGTTTGTAAGTAGGCGAGGTTTCTAAAGATTGCTTCATTAGGACAGAGTGATGCCTTGAGGAAGACTTGGTAGCTGCAAGACTTGGTACCTTCTTCACTGGTTAATATTTAGAGGTACATCTCTCTGGGCCATAGAGGCACTTATGGAGAAAAAGAGTAAAGATGGAGATGATTTACCAAGAGCAATTTTAATAGTGCCAGTGAAGGAAAAGCTACAAAAACATGATCCAAACTTCCTCAAATTTGGATCACCATATAACGTCTTTCATGCTTCGTCTTTTCCCAGCTGGCTCATAAAATGGGGCTCAAGTGGAGACACCAGGGTATTGTTCAGTTATGATTTGAGGGATCAGAGACTCTGAGCAATAAATAGCCTACGGAAACCAAGGTGCTGATTTGAGTAGGTAATTACACGGGAAGAGAGTTTGGACTCGGAGTGGTGGTAAACAAGAGAGCATGTCTGCTTCCCATAGCAGGTTAACTCATCCTGAAGAGTGGAGTAAGTCTGCTGGGCCATGACTCAACGTGCCCGAGTTATCAGGATTGCTGCCTCTACTCCCTACGCCTTCGGCATCAACCATGTTGATCAGGTGCTGGCTCACTGATGTCAGCTTGGCTAGTTCAGGTCACGGGACTACCAAAGTCTCCAGGAGTTAAAACGTCCTGGAGGACTGTGCCTCTTTCCAGGCTCTTCTCTGCCTGGTTGTATATACTGTTTATTTTCAAACACGAACGGGCAAAAGACCTTGGGCTACAGGAGACATGCTGGGGGCAGGGCCCAGGGATCTGCATTTTCCAACAGCCGCCTCAGCGGATTTGATGCGATGGCCCGGAAACGACCTTTTGAAAAGGAGAAGAAGGTGGTAAGAACGGTGATGCAAGGATCAGCTGTGACAAGGCGTCCTGTTTGTGCTGCTTTGTTGGTTAAGGCTGATCCGGGCTTATTCACACCTTAGAAAATTTAAAAAGCCGTAAAGCCGTTGAGTCAGTCCCTGAGGCGCCTGCTCTGAGGCAACTCGCCTACGCTCCGGGACGCGACGCCGGCTCCACCTAAGCCGCAGGTGTCCGGAGCGCCCCGGGCTTTTCTGCCGGCTGCTCTTGAGCCGCAGGTCTGCGGGGCTCCTCGCAGTTTCCCGCCGGGACCCACGGTCCTCCGCCAGCCACGGTGCCCGCTCCACAGCCAAGCGCCAGCGACGCGCCGTAAGGACCGGAGCACAGGCCGGAAGCGCCCTCCGGGCCTGCGCCCTGCCCGCCGGAGCCGGAAGTTGACGACGCCAGCGGGTACGTCGCCCTCCGCGGGCCGCGCCGCACCATGCTCCGCGGTCCCGGCGGCCTCCTCGGGGTCTCCGTCCGACCCGCCGCGGCCCTGGCTGTGGCTCTGCTCTCGTCGCTCTCGCACTGCTCTCTCCTGGAGCCGGGAGACCCTGTGGCCTCGGCGCTCAGCCCTTATTTTGGCACCAAGACCCGCTACGAGGATGCCAACCCCTGGCTGCTGCCGAACCCCGAGGCGCCGCGGCGGGACCCGAACCTGCTGGAGGAAGCCTGCACCCCGGTGCAGCTGGTCGCCCTCATCCGCCACGGCACCCGCTACCCTACGGCCAAACAGATCCGCAAGCTGCGGCTGCTGCACGGGCTGCTGCAGGCTCACCGGCCGGGAAATGACAGGGCCGGCGGCGGCGGCGGCGGCGGAGACCTAGGCGCCAGGCTGGCCGACTGGCCGCTGTGGTACGCGGACTGGATGGATGGGCAGCTGGTGGAGAAGGGGCGGCAGGACATGAGACAGCTGGCCCTACGCCTGGCCTCCCTGTTCCCGGCCCTCTTCAGCCGCGAGAACTACGGCCGCCTGCAGCTTATCACCAGCTCCAAGCACCGCTGCGTGGAGAGCAGCGTCGCCTTCCTGAACGGGTTGTGGCAGCACTGCTACCCTGAGTTGCCGCCGCCCGACGTCGCAGGTGACCACCCCGTCCGCTGGGCCAGTGCCTGCCTTGGTGTTAAATCCTAACCCTCCCGCCGCTCTAAATCCTCGCTTCCCCCACCCCGGCCCTCAATCCTCCCCCAGATCCCGTACTTCCCCAGTCCATCCTCTCCTTACCTCTGTCCCCAGTCCCCCATCCCATAGGCTGTTCAGGACTTGGCTATCTCCCTTCTCATTCATTCATTCATTCATTCATTCATTCATTCATCGGGTATGAATTTGGCACCTTCTATGAGCAGGGCGTTGTAGTAGACTTTGGGGGATCCAATCGGAAAGGAGAGACAGGGCAGTTTTTGATCATTCCCCAGTTGAATAGCCCTCTCTGAGCAACAAACCCGCCATTTCCTCTCTCGCTGGCAGCTAGTTCTACAGCTGGGCACATTTTTTAATACAATCTAGGACTTTATTTCTGAGGCTTTGCTTCTGATCCTATTTGGGGTTTTTGTTTGTTTGTTTGTTTTTACTTAGTGATTTTTTTCAGTTGTTGGTTCTAGACCGACTTCCTCTATTTTAGGAAGCTACTTTCAAATTTTCTGTACTGTTCCGGGCTTTTTACCTCTGTTTTGTTTTTATATGGGCTATAGAGTGTTCCTCACAGCTGTGGTCTGTGGTCACACACAGATCTTTACTAATCTATCCCATTACGTAAGCTTTTGCAAAATTTGAGAGATCATCCGGTGGGGGCCCTTTTATTTTGCAGGTGGAGCAGCAGAGCCCAAGAATATGCCTTGCTGATTGCCCTTTATTTGAGGACTAGAATCAGGCCCAGAATCCAAGTCTTCTGTTTTTCCCCAAATGGTGCTTTTTTTCCCACCTTAGAAAATATTTAGTAGACACAAATAATAATAATAGCAAACACTTAATGCCTACTATGTGCCAGGCATGTCTTACATTTATTTCACTAAATCCTTACAATAGCTTTCTCTGAGGTTGATAGTGTTTACCCCCTAACTGATAAGAAAATTGAGACACAGAAAAACGAAATAATTTGTATAATTTCATATAGCTAGGTATTAATATGTATCCAGGTCTCTTAACCATATGCTGTGTAGCTTCCATTTGTCCTGTAACTTAAGGATAATGATAAAACATGAAACATTTTTGTGCCAGAGAGATGATCAAGTGTTAATATTTTCTTGATCAGTTTTAAAGTCAGAGTTGAGGTGAGACATCATGTAGCCCGATGAAAAATGAAATAGACTGGTTTGTCATTTCTCCAAAAGCATCCTTAAGCAGTTCAGCCATCTCCAAACTTCCTCCATTGATTGTATGTCATGTTACTGCTCAGTGGGTAATTCAGTTGGCTGACGTGTTTGCTCACTTGTTGAAATGTGCTTTTTAATCATAGCTAGGCTTGTTCCATTAATGTGTGTGAAAATTACCCATGAGTCTGTTAAATTAACTGAATGTTGAAAGTAGAATATGCTTCGTTAGCAGCACGATATATACAGAGGGTGCCAAAAAAATGTGTACACGTTTTAAGAAAGGAAAAAAACTGTATTAAAATTGTAATACTCAATATATACAGATAACAAAAGATGAATATAAGTCATGTGTTACATCTGTTGGCACCCCTGGTGTAGTGTATACCTAAAAGGAGCTACTGAACTACCTGGGGTGAATGAATATTTGCCCTTAGATGGCATTGTGAGGATTTGCATTTGTCTGGAAGTACAAAGCAGGGATCAGGATAGCTCAGGATAAACTTGCCCCTTACCATTTTCAGTCTCAGGTTAAACCCTTTGCCTAGCTACTTCATTATTATCTATAGACAGCTGTTTTGCCTATTATGTACATCTGGGCTTTTGAGGGAGGCCACTGAATTAGCTTTTGTATTACTGAAACAACAATACCTTTGTTTCTGTTTAAAGAGCAGCAGTAATTAGATAATAGCAAGGATGAAATATCCAGATGCACTTGGGAAATTATATTTTGAGGCCACAAAAAGAAGACAGATGACAAAGATCACTAATTTTCCTAGTTAAGATGTTTTCTTAACTGTAATCCAGTCGGTAAAGTGAGCAGAATTATCCATTGAAATGGATACACACACACACACACACACACACACACACACATTTTTTCCCACACACACATCCAAAGCAAAATGGTATATATAGCTAGATTTAATTTTCTCATATACAGAAATAGTATGCTTGGTGTTCTTTTCATGGTAAATATTGGAGAAATGATTGAAAGCTGTGTGTTTTAAATATGACTCTGAAAAAACTTAAAAGCTACTCCTATAGTGGAAGCATGATTATGAATGCTTTTCCAATACATATTTGTTGCCAAACTGGAGAAATAATGTAACTTATTAAATTCTAAATGGAAATTGTCTGAGATCTTCAGTTAAAAAAATAAATCAGAAGTACCTAGCACAATAAAATACAAAAGAATTAATGTATTATATTTTGTGCTGTTGTCAGTAGTTTTTGTCCAAAGCAGAATCTTTTGTAAAGTAACATGGGACTGGGAAAGTTAATTGAGAAAATAAAATACTTCATTTAGACTTTGGCTTAGAGTAGTAAAAACAGATTTGATCTGTTGAATTATCTCTCACCTTGTAATTAAAAACTTTGCTAATTTTTAGTTTGTTTTTCAGGTTTTTGTGCCTAACAGAAGCAGTATTCATATAACACATTTTTGTACTTTGTATAACATTTATGTCTAATTATTTCTATTTTCTTTAAGAAAACGTTCATTTCATTTACCTTTATTTTATTATGTAGTATTGCTATAACATTTTATCTTTGATTCTCAGTTTCTTTAGTCTTGTAGCATATACTCATGAATTACAATTACAAATGGGGAGAGTAATTTTGTCGTCTTTCTTGAATAATCTGTGCTTATTTCAAACATGCCAGTGAATAAGTAGATTTTTAGTGTTTCTTTTCACACTTGAAACAAAATTTTCAGTAATTTTAAACTGTCATTTATGTCAGTTATACACACACACACATGTGCACACACACCCACACATATCTTTTTTTCCCTTTCAGACATGGAGTGTGGACCTCCAAGAATTAATGATAAACTAATGAGGTTTTTTGATCATTGTGAGAAATTTTTAACTGAAGTGGAAAAGAATGATACGGCTCTTTATCACGTAGAAGCCTTCAAAACTGGACCAGAAATGCAGAACGTTTTAAGAAAAGTTGCAGCTACTTTGCAAGTGCCGGTCAACAATTTAAATGCAGGTAATGTGCCTGTTATCTTTCATTTGAACTCTGAAATAGTTTTTGAACTCTGAAAAATGAAAAAAAAATGGAAGCATAAAGCTATTCCTTTTAAAGGTCCACAGTTGATTTTACATTAAAAAAATAATGTTCTAGGTCAAAATTGTACACCTCATGCTTACTTTTTTTATGTTCATATCTTCTTTGAGTTTTATGTAATTAGTGTACAAGATTCTTGCTATATCCTGGAATTTGTTTTTATTTTTGAGGGCAGAGATACATAAAGCTTCAGCTCTAAGATTATTTATAAAGCAAAAATTATTTCTGTGTTATCTCATAAAGTAACGCGAATGGAAAGTCATGTAAATTCTTTAGCTTTTGAAGCAGTTCAAAAGTACATGTTAATGTTTTGAGAGGGATAAGTTTTAGAAAGTGAAAGATAAAGTAAAGTGAGTTTTTCAGAGGCTTTAACCCTGGAGATGCTGAGAAAATGAGCAGTTGTGTCTGTCATAAGGTATTGCAGTGGAGATGGGCTGACTACAGTTTATCATGCAACCAGGGCCACTTGAGGGGGAAAGTGACATTATTAATAATTTGCTGGGAAATCAGGTGGAAAATCAGGACATGTGGTAACCTAGAAGTGGGAAATTAAGAAAATAAGATTTTTTTCCCCTGTTTTTAAGGAATTTATAATACATAACGCTGATATTGACCGATCAACAAACAAAGATTATGGATTTCATTATATTGTGAATAAATTTAAAAAGACTAGACGTAGGGAATGTTGGAGGGAAAACAGTGGATTGGAATCTTGCAATCATAGAGCCTGAATACTTTATAAGGATTAAAAAAGTGAAGATGCCTAGAGTAGCATTTAAAATTGAATTTTTTTCTCTTTCCCCAATCTGGTTGTACATTGGGGTCACCTGTGGAGCTTTAAAAATTGTTTTATTGGGAATAACTCAAGCATATGGACAATAAAGGTTAATACAATGACTAGTGGTATACCCACAACTCAGTTTTATCAAATTTTAACATTATGCTTCAATTAGTTGCTTTTAATATACTGAGGTTTATTGGTCCTTTTTCAGAATCGTATTTGTCATCTTTTCTCCCCAGAGGTAATTGTTGTTATGAACTGAGCATTGAAATCATTCCATGCCAGTTTTTATACTTATGTTTCTGTACATAAATGGGATATTGTTTTGAAGATTTTTAAACATTTAACAATGGTATGAAACTATGATATCAGTCCAAAATTTTATTTTAATTTTGTGTTTTTGATTTAATGTGTGTAATTCTAGCACTACATTTTAAATTTATGTACAGATTTTCATAACTATATCATTATCTAGCCATTATTCTGTTAGTGGGCATTTAGATTGTTGAAGTTTGTTTGTTTTTTAACTATTTTTAGTCTCTAAATGAACAAGGATTATTTGTGTTTTACTGATGGGGTAATTGAGAGCAACTTTTTGGAGACAATATAAGCATAGTGGTTAAAATCATGGGTTCTGGAACTGGAATATGTGTTTGTATTTACTATTGACTAACTGATCTTTGGCAAGTTCCTAATATCTCTTTAGTTACAGAATAGTTCCTTTCTCTGTAAAATGAATATAGGAATTGTACCTACCTTATAAGTGTATTGCAAGGATAATGTGAGATTAATTTATGCAAATCATTAGCACAGTATCTGGCACACAGTAACTGCCCCAAAATATTTTAGCTATTTAAATACCCTTATTATTATTATTATTATTATTATTATTATTATTACTATTTTACATCGAGAGGTGATGCCCTGTGTATTTTCTGTAACTAGTTTTACTTAGCAATATATCTGTCTCTTTTAAATGCTTTGTTGTTTCTTAGGATGTATGATTTAATTTCAAGGTCAATGCTAGTTAACTTATTTAACCCATCATCAAGTTTTACTGGTGAAAGGGGCTGAAGCTGTTACAGTCCAAATTCTTTTCATAGGAAATCATTTTCCTAGTGAAGTTTTTCTTAGTTTCTGACTCTTTCAAATAATACTACAGTGAACATTCTTATATCCTGGTTTTTGCACTTAAGAGTTTATAAGATAAATAGCTATATGTGGAGTTGTTGGGTTAAGGAGTGTGACTGTTTTACATCTTGACATGCTTCCAAATTGTTCTTTGAAAGTGTAGAAAAATTTATATCAATAATGTTCATTTTACCCTATTTTATCCAACAGTGGATATTATTAGTCATTTTGATTTTTGCCAACTTGATTAATGAAAAATGGTATCTAGCTTTAATTTTCATTTCTTTGATACTTGTGAAGGTGAGCATGTTTTCATGTTTATTAGCTATTTTCATTCCTTCTGAGAATTGTCCCTTTTTAACCTTGCCCATTTTCTACTGGATTATTTTTTTATTGATCATAGGTATCTTATGTGTTATGAATATTTATATATCCTTTAATTTTGCTTGACAAAGGACAAATCCTTTGTTTATTGTATTTTGCTAACATTTTCTCTTAATTTTTTGTGTATCTTTTAAGTCTCTTTATGATGCCTTTGTACAGAAGTTTACATCTCTCATATAGCTGTGTTTGTCTTTTCATTATGGCTTCCGAGTGTTGTATTTTGCCTAGGAATCTTCTCTTACCGCAAGATTATTGTATTTTCCTATGTCTTTATTATTTTAATTTTTAAATCTCTAAGTCATATAAAATATTTCTGAGGTTCCAGAAACTGACCAGATGTCAAAATGTTCATAACAAATGCATCAGAGCCATAACTCATCATAAAAAATTGTCTAAACTCCCATTTTGCATGTGGGAAAATTGAGACTCATTACCTAGGTGAGTTGCCCAAGATAATTAGTAGCAGATTCAGGTCTCATAGCCTCAGTTGTCATCTTATGCTTTTTCTTTTTCTACTAGTACTGTAGAGAGTTTTTTGGTGATTTTTTTTTTCAGTCAACTCCCCTCCAGTTAAAGAATATACCATATGAACTGACTTCCATAGTTTCAGAACTAGAATTTTGAGTGTGAAAAGCCAGGACCTTAAATCAAACATACACGGTACTTACAAATCACTCTATTATATTGGATATTAGGATTATAAGCCCTTTCATTTATATAAGCACAGTTTTTAAGTGGCTTTTATGTATATTCCCAATTAAATATCCTTTTTGTACCGCTACAGGGAAGTTCTTCAAACTCAAAACTAGTGCCAAAAATATGTAAGATCAATTTTTTTTTTTGGTCCTATTTTTCTTGAGAAAGAAGACAATGAAGTTAAAGAAAAATCAAAGCAATGAAGGCAACCCCTGCAGTTTGACTTCTTTTCTCTCTCTCTCTCTAGCATTTCACCCACTTACCCTGGACTAGAGAGCAGTAATTTTATTTGCTACTAACAAGGCTACCTTTTGTAGTCTAAGTACTCATTCCCTTATCCCTTCTCTTCAAAATCCAGGTGTATTTAAAAGTAATGTAATCAGCTAATGAGCAGTGTAAAAATTCCAGGTAATTTATTCTGAAATCCATGCCTGATTGGGCAGCCAAGTTTGAAAAACTGATGCTGTTGTCAGCCTCTCTCCTTCACTGTGTGATTTTTTTGTTTGTCCTCTCCTTGACCCTTTGTTTCACCTTTCTCCTGACCCCTCACTTACTCTAACCTCTAGACCCTTTCTACCTTTACAGCCTTCTCACCTTTTATATCCTTCTTTCTGTACTTGCTTCTTCTTAATAGTTATAATATGAATTGTGTAGCTAAAAGAACTGTTTAATAAATGTATTTTGTTGTTTCTGATTTTTAAGTTGGGGACTAAAACCTTTTATAACTTTTTCCCCTCCTTCTCCAACCCTCTAAAATTAACAAAATCAAGTTATGTTTTATATAGTGAGCCCTTGGGTTAAACTGTTTGTGTTTTTGGTAGGCAGATATAGTCATAGCAAACATACTACTTTTAAAAACAGAAAAAAATTACCGTTTTACTACTGTTTCACAGAGAGAAAAATTTTTAGTTCGTTGGACTGAAATGTATACCTCCTCATGGTTTCTTCTTGATAGTTCCACTTCTCTTCTTTTGGATTGTACAGAGTAAGTCTTAATTCTTTGATAGCCAAGGAGAAACTGAATAGTGTCCTCTCCAAACGAAATATCGGGGGTGCAAAAAAATATATACAAGTGGACACTTTGGTCAATGTTGCTCAAGCAGTAGTTCATCATAATCAGAAGTGTCTGGACACTGATGGTAAACACTTTGAGCACCTCTTATAATTGCCGAAGTCAAACGTGACTTGTATTCATCTTTTATTATCGGTATATATTGAGTATTACAATTTTAATGCGGTTTTCCTTTCTTAAAATGTGTATACATTTTTTTGGCACCCTCTGTATATTCATTTCTTCAACTGCTGCATATGGCATTCTGCAGCTATTTAGCCTTTGGAAAATTGCAGAAAATGGTAACCCACAAATTTTACCTTTTTTTCAGATTTAATTCAGGTAGCTTTTTTCACCTGTTCATTTGACCTGGCAATTAAAGGTGTGAAATCTCCTTGGTGTGATGTTTTTGACACAGATGATGGAAAAGTAAGTATTACTTTCGCAGTTTCTTTGCTTTTCTTGTGTGATTTTTTTGTCATTTGAGGCAGCTACTCAAAAAATAAGCAGAGTAGAGAACATTAACTGTCTTTTGACTAACTCATAAGTTTCCTTATATAAATGGAGATTGATTGTTAAGATAGAACCTATCTAGTTGTGACTAATATGGGTTCATAAAACTCTAGAAAACATTCTTCCATTGTGATTTGATATCTAGGTCCACCCAGTTAAAAACCTATTTAACCTAATATCAGATGTTACTGCTGGAAAGGATTGTAGAGCTAATATAATCCAAATTCTTCTTTTTATAGGAAGCCAAAGCTCAGATGGGATGAATGGTTTTTCAAATACCTATTTCTTTTATAGCAGTGTTCATGTTAAATTGAGTTCTTTGTTCTTCTACCTGGTGATGGCAGTAATTCATCTACAGTTTCTGTCTGCCTACTTCATTTTTTTTCTTCTTCATTCATATGGCTTCTTTGTAGACTTTTAGACTCTAGAAAGAGAAAGGCAGACAGGTGTCTGGTGACTTCGAGAGAGGCAAATTCTGGTCAATTCTGGCATGTTGGGATCCAGAGAGATGGGGTAGGAGAGAGTTGTTTCCTTAAGCGTTGAGGATCTCAGCATTGGATAGACCTCTGGTGGATGAGAGTAGGATGTTTCTGTATGCACGTATCATTCCGGAATATGGGCTTTTGAAACTTTAGTCATCCCTTGCATACATAGGAAATGTTCAGTATTCCATATGAAAATCAATTGTTAACTTTGAAATTTAACTTCAAATTTTGAAGAGCAGTGTATTATTTGTCAGATAGAAAGAAGCAGGCTTTTAAGTAGCGAGGTAATGTACGAGGTTGGACAATTTAGTTTGCGGACTCATCCTAGAAAAAGTGCTACACCCCTCATTGCTGAATATCACTGCAATCACCTTAGAAGTACTCCCCTTGGGAAGCTATGCACTGACACCAGTGCCTAGTCCACCCTTCAAAGCAATTTTGGAACTCTTTTTCTGGAATGGCTATCAGAGCTGTCGTCGTATTACCCTTGATGTCCTGAATGTTATCAAAATGTTTTCCTTTCAATATTCCTTTGTCTTTGGGTAAAGAAAGAGGTCATTGGGGGCCCGATCAGGTGAGTTGGGAGGGTGTTCCAATACAGTTGTTTACTGGCTAAAAACACCCTCACAGGCAGTGCTGTGTGAGCTGGTGCAGTGTAGTGATGCAAGAGCCACAAATTGTTGGTGAAAAGTTCAGGTCGTCTTAACTTTTTCACGCAGCCTTCCAAATAGTAAACTTGGTGAACTGTTTGTCCAGTTGGTACAAATTCATAATGAATAATCCCTCTGATATCAAAAAAGGTTAGGAACATCATTGCAACAAGTTCACAAACTTAATTGTCAGACCTCATACATTGGAAATTAAACAAGTGCTTTATTTTGTTACCCAAAGACTTAAGTGATCAGAACCAGATTAAAGGTGATTTCCCTTGGGTATTGTGCCAGTGGGGGACTAGGGCTTAGCAGGTGAGTTGGAAGAAGGGAAAAGAGCTTTCAATGGATGATTGCTCTAGGATGCTGAGCACCAGTAGTAATAGGTGTATTGTATTTCCTCTCTGTGATTCCTCCTGAGGATCTACTGTTTCTCTGCCCCAAGTATCCAACACCCTTCTCATCTCCTCTAAGTGTCCATAACTCACCACTTCAGAAACTTCCTGTCTTACCCTCCTTTGAAATGCCCTGTGCTTAGGATGATCATAAAATTTATCTTTGGCATACTTTTAAGTTGGCACCATTTATAATTATGCCAGTATAGGTATAAACTGAGACTTATGGTCACCATTCACATATATGTCAAAATACCTCACCTCTTTTCCCTCCCTATTCAGAGTGCTGTCGGGAAGAAAGCCAATAAACAAAATTGAAGTGATTTTCAGTATTGTGTAAATGACTGCTGGGTGTTTGCAAAAGGGAAATTTACCTTTTAACAGAACAACTTATTTGCCCACGTTACTGTAGTTATTGGAGTATTTGGCATGTACTTGCCTGGTCGCCTGCTATCTCCCCATTTCCTATTCTGAGTAGCTATATCCATGTGATGTGGTCCCTTACTTCTGAATACTGACAACTTCTGGTTTAAGAGCAAGCCACTTACCCTGAAGTAAATATACACACCTCAGATCATAACCAGGCTCTCTTTATTCATCTTCTCATCACCTGCTTGTACTACCTTCCCTTTCACTATTTGAATTCCTCTCCTTTCAAACATTGTACTCTCATTTTTTGTCTTCTTTTTCTCTCCCGGAAGGTAGTTTGATATGCCACAAAAACCCTGGAAGTCAAGATCTGGGTTAGAGTAACACTTAAACTTTCTGTGCTTTGATTTTCTTATCTATTAAAAGATGGAACTATTACGTGACACAGGAACACCCCTGTAATTGTAAGATTCTATACTACTTGTTATTTTCTTTTCCTCCCTTTTCTTTGTAAGATTGTCCTTTTATCCCTTTATTGCTTATGAATGCCTCTTTTTTCCCCCAACTTATTTTGAAAATTTTCAAACTAACAGAAGCTGTAAAAATAACACAATGAACATTGATATCCTTCACCTATATTCACCAGCTGTTAGCCTTTTTTGCCACATTTGCTTTTTTCTATTATATGTATAATACTGGGTTGTCGGGAAAGTCATGATGCATTTTTGCAACGAAAAACAGAAAAAATACGTCATGACTTTTCTGACAACCCGATATATTATATATTAATATATATTAAAACATTAGTTTTCTATTGCAGCTATAATGAATTCAGACTTAGTGGTTTTGAAACAACACAAATTTATTATCTCACAGCTCCAGAAGTCAGAAGTCCAAAATGAAACTTACAGGGCTAAAATCATGGTATGAGCAAGGCTGTCTTCTTTCTGGAGGGAGACTTTAGGGGAAAATTCATGCCTTGCCTATTCCAGCCTTCAGAGGCCAGCTGCATTCCTTATATCACTCTGACCTCTGCTTCCATGGTTATATCTTCTCTGACTATACTTCCTGCCTACTTCTTAAAGGGTTCTTGTGATTACCTTGGGCACACATGGATAATCTAGGATAATCTTTCCATTTTAAGATCCTTAACTTAATCACAAATCTCCTTTTATCATGTAAAATAACATATTCATAGGTTCCAGGAATTAAGATGTAGGCATCTTTGATGAGCCATTTATTCTGTCTACTCACATATCTTTTTCCTTTGCAGACATCAAGACACTTCACCCTTAAATACTTGGGCATGTACCCAAACAAGAACATCCTCCTACATAACCATAATAAAATATAATTTCATATATGCATATATAATACAGTATTATTTAGTATATAGTCAATATTCAAGTTTTTACATTTGTCTTAATAAAATCTTATATTTGTAGCTATATATTTTTTTTTAATTCGGAGTCTACTCAAGGATCACTCACTGCATATACTTGTTATATCCTTTTAATTTTCTTTAATCTAGAAGAGTGCTCCTGCCTTTCTTTTGTCTTTTTTACATTGGCATTTTGCAGGCATCTTGGTCAGTTTTCTTGTTTGTTTGCTTTTTGGCAGAATGTCTTTGTGTCTTATTTTTAACTTATGATTAGATTGGAGTTTTTTGTTTTTGTTTTTTGACTAGAATGCTATGTAAGTGGTGTGTCTTTTTTAGTGCATCACATCAGAAGGAATGATGTCAGTTTGTCACATTGATGATGATATGTTTGATCATTTGATTAAAGTGATACCTGCCATATTTCTCCATTGTGGAGGTACCTTTGTAAACAAAGAACTTCTCATTTAATTTACCATGATTTGAAAATTTGAAATACATGTTTATTAAATTAATTGCATATGACTTTCTTTTTTATATATATAAGTAGCAAATAAGTTAGATTCTTCATGTAAAAATATGAAGTCCTTTTTTTTTTTTTCTCAAATCTACACCGTCGCCGGCAACTCACTGCAGCCCAGCTCCAGGTTGAGCTGTTGTTCAGCATCTTAGCTATAGAGGGCAGTGTCACTGGCCCTCATATGTGGGATCCCAACCCTGGCCCTCTGGCGTCCCAAGCCAGCTCTTAACGCGCCATTCGGCCGATCTTAGAGTGTGCACTCTTAACAGCAAGGCTGCTGGTTCGACTCCTGCAAGGGGAAAGGAAAAAAAAAAATGTTTAAGGATCATTTGAGATCTTGCTTTCCAGCATATGTAATCAATTTGGCTCAAATAAACTCTTGTAAAATTTCAAAAAAATGTTAAAGAAAATGAAAATAAATAGACATGAAAAATATTGAGAATTGTGGAGATTATTAGATATTCAAGACCTTGTGAAATTCTGGACCATGTGTGCTTCATTCAGCAAATGTTGTTTGAACGCCTGCTCTGTACCAGGCACTTGGTTGGAACTGAAGGCATTGTCCTCAAATATTGCCACAAGGAGTGAAAGATACAAATAAACCATTGCAAGACAATGGCTATATAGAAGTATATATAAGGTATAGTGATATACCAAGGACAAAGCTGATTTAATGGCAGCCAGGTAAATCTTTACAGAAGAAATGACACATAAACTAAATAACGTTTCTGTGGGATAGCTTTTTGCAACATTGTATTTATCTTCTACCGTAATGAGTGTATCTAGATTTTCTGTCTTTTCTGGGGTCGGTTTTGGTATTTAATATTATCTTATAAAAGTCATCCATATCATTGAGGTTTTCAGAATTATTTGTAGAGTTTGGCAAATGTATGTCATGATTTTTAATTTTCATTTTTTTGTTTATATCTTGTAATTTTTTAAAACAATGTTTCCCTCTGTTTTTAGATTATTTCCCCATTAATAGTACTTATTTGTACTTGTGCTTTCATAGTTTTTTTCATTACATTAGTTTAGTGTTTACTAATTTATTTTTTTCCCAAGAAACAGTTTAACTATATATTTTTGAAATTTATACAATATGGAATATATAATATACCCAGTATGTATTTTTTTTGGTGTCTAGTTTTTGTTCAAATTTTGTTTTTAAGATTTTTCTATGATGCTGCTGCATGTAACTATATACAGTCATGTGCCACTTAACCTTAGGGATATGTTTTGAGAAATGCATCGTTTGGTGATGTTGTTCAAACATCATAGAGTGTACTTACACAAGCCTGTATGGTATAGCCTATTGCTCCTAGTCTACAAGCCTGCACAGCATGTCACTGTACAAAACAACATGAGATTAAATTAAGCACAAGAGAAAATGATGCACTCAGATGCATGAATGAGATGTATGAGGCTGCTGCTAGTGTAACACGGCACACTGTATTATATAACAAACTTTTTTTAGTATACTCTAAAATAACAATTAAAAAGTATATAAATATATAAAACAGTAGAATAGTCATTTATTATCATTAGCAAGTATTATGTGCTATACATAATTAATTGTATGTTCCATACTTTTATACCACTGGTAACAAGTAGGTTATGCGAGTGATATGCTGTGCTATGATGTTACAGTGGCTATGATGTCACTAGGCAATAGGAGTTTTTCAGCTCCATTATAATCTTACAGGACCACGGATGTACATATATGCAGTCTGTTTTTGACCCAAAAGTTATGACGTGAATGACTATAATTCACTCATTTTCATTGTGTAGTATTTCATGATCTGAATTATCAGTTTTCAAATCCATCTTCTTGGTAGGCATGTAGATTGTTTTCAATTTGGGGCTACAGGGTCTCATTTTCTGGTTATTTATGTCAGGAGGGTGTTACTGGTATCAGTTATTCTATCATGGAAAGAGTACATCCATTTAATGTACTGTTGAATTTTATTTGGTAATGTTTTATTTCAAATTCATTAAATAATGTTTATAATGAGGTTGGTTATGGCAGTGGCTCTCATTTTTTAGTGACACTACAGGCCTGACCATACTCTTCTCCCTTTGTAGGGGTTAGAAATGTAAGGGGGAAGGTTTGTTTGTAACAATGACTAGGAGTCACATTTGGCGTTTAGTGGATGAGAGCACAGGATGCTAACTATTTTGCAATGCAATAGTCTAAGTTTTCTCCCCTCACCATTTTTTTTTTTCAATGCTTTCTTTGTCCAGTTTTGGTTAAAGCCTTCTATAAGCCTCCTAAAATGAGTTGAGAAGTTCTGCACCTTTTTCCGTATTCTAGAGTAATTTAAATATTAGGAACTAACTCTTCTTGAAGGTTTGGTAGACCTCATCGTTAAAACCAACTATCCTTGGTATCTTTTAGGTAGACCTTTGACTCTATAGTTCTTTTGTATAGTTAGTTTGGGTAACTTACATTTTTCTAGCAAAAGCATCCATTTCATTTACATTTTTAAGTCGTTTTGATATGAAGTTTTAATAGTGTGCACATGTGATTTTTAAAAAAATCTCTATATCTCCTTTTTCACTTCTGATACTATTTTTGTTTTATTTCTTGAATAGATTTGGCATAACTTTATCTAATTTTAAAATTTTAATTCCTTTTTTACTATCTTAAAAAATGTTTACTTTGTCCTCTTTGCTAACTTCTTGACTTAATTGACTCTTTAATATATATATATATATATATTTCATTTTGTTTTTGGCATATGGCACTGGCCCACCCTTGCTCCTGCTCTTTTACTTATGGCTTGCACTTAGTTTCTCTAGGGGCTCTTTTGGGAAGAATGGCTCATAACTTGTACCGCTGTTGGGCTACAGGTTTTAGTTCTCTGGTTTTGGTGTTTATCTGATCACAAGATACATGAGTACAAAGTTTAACATTTAGATAAATGATACCTTAATCACCAATGCCAATTCAAGACTACTCCAAAGAGATTAATCACTGCCATCTGTTTGATGTATGGCTTTCGATCCTTTTCTATGCTGCTATTTATAATCTGTATCAGTCTTAGAAATGTGAACCTTATCTCGTGTGTGTGTGTGTGTGTGTGTGTGTGTGTGTGTGTGTAACAAATGGTATTTTACTGTATTTATTATTCTTAACTTGCTCTTCTCATTCAGTAGTGTGTTTTGGAGATCTTTCCATGTCAGTAACTTGTAGATCTGCAATGTAAATTTCTTTTTTTTTTTTTAAAAGATTTTATTGGGGAATTGGGGGGAGGGGAACAGGCAGGTAGACAAATTGCTGTTTTTGTTCTTCAGCCTAGTTGTGGAGGACCTCGCTTCACTGGCCCATGTTGGTATGACCAGGGGAGGCAATCGGTCGCCGGTCATTGGTCGGCCGTTCACAGTGGCTCCCTGTAGTTCACGCTGGCTGCTAGCCACTCACATAGCTCACGGCAGCCCCGCTGCAGCCTACACCATCACCGGCGACCCACAGCAGCCCAGCTCCAGGTCAAGCCGTTGTTCATCTTAGCTGCAGAGGGCAAGCGTCACTGGCCCTCAATGTGGGATCCGAACCACAGCCCTGCTGCTCAGAGCTGGTGCTCCCAAGCGAGCTCTTAACCAGCTGAGCCACTCGGCCGGCCCAATATAAAATTTTTTAATAACTGCATAGTATTCCATAGTATGTTACACCATAGTTTATTTAGCTCTCTGCCTATCAATGATATTTAGGTATTTCCAGGAATTTATTTTTTGACTCCTGTAAGCAGTGTTGCTGTAAGACATTGTACGTTCTTGTGTTCCTCTGTGAATATTACTTTATAAAAATGGAATTAAATGAGAGAGAGAGATGTATGTTTTTATAGATTTTGCCAATTTGCCCTTTAGAACATGTACACCAATATACATTCTTTTCAGCAGCACCAATTTTTCATATCTTTAGTCTACTTTTATTACTATTTTTGCCAAATTGATATATGAACCAAAGTAACTTTTTTTCTGTCTGGTTTCTACCTTCCTAAAGTTCTTAAAAATTCCTGATCCACTGTTGGCTCCTTTCTGTGCTATAATGAATATTTTTCTATGTATATCTTTCATTTTTCTGTATATATCTTTGCTATCATCTTAATATAATTTTAGAAGAAAGGAGAGGTGAGCACATGCCTTTAACCCACTGTTCTGAACTGCCACGAATGCTGGAGTTTTGGCTGTGAGTACGAGCTTGCTTTTATGTGCCACCCTCTACATTCCACGGTTAAATTTGTGTATTGACATAGATCTCTGTGTGTCCTGGATCTTTGGGGCCAACAATTAAATGCTTGAAATAACAAATGTAAATATAAACTATGAATGCTAAGATTCTGCTATACTTTGTGCAGAATGGTATTTTTAAAATCTAACCTTTACTAAATCATTATTAAATTAGGGAATCTGTTACATTATTAAAAATGTAATTGTAATGATTTTTGAAATTTTCATTTTTAGGTATTAGAATATTTAAATGATCTGAAACAATATTGGAAAAGAGGATATGGGTATGCTATTAATAGTCGATCCAGCTGCACCCTGTTTCAGGATATCTTCCAGCACTTGGACAAAGCAGTTGAACAGAAAAAAAGGTAAAAACTTAAAATTGTTTTGATACATATTCTAAGTGCCCAATTAAACTTCTGGAAAATGTTTTATAATGGGTGATTTTAAAAATTAGATTTTCCTTGTGTATTAAAAAATATATTTTAATATAATAATTATACTGACAAAAGAATTAGATGACATATTTGTTATAAAGCATATAAACACTCCATTCAACCCAAGAGCTAGAACATTACTAATAATTTACATTTTTTATTTATGAATATTTTTCTATGTATGTCTTTCTAATTTCCTGCCTCCCCTTGCCTCCTCTACTCCCTATCCTCTGTAACTACTATCCTGATTTGGTGTATGTCATTCCTTTGACTCTTTAAAAATAGTTTTTATTATGAATGTATGTGTGCCCAAACAATACATTTAGTTTTGCTTAGAGTCATATGCTTATTCTCTTCTGGGACTTCTCCCCCACTCTCACCCCCAGCATTAATATTTATAATATTGATCATGTTGCATATTCTGTAGTTTATTCATTTTTATTACAGTATAATATTCAATAATGTACAGTAGTCAGTAAATAAATACCACAATTTATACCATTTTCTCTTGTCAGTGGGCATTCGTGTAGTTTCTGTTTTTTGCTGTTACAAACTATGTAGTTATACATGGCTCCTGGGAGGAATTGCAAAATGTTTTTATTTTAAATGAGAGTTTCTCATCATAAAGCCTTTGTTAACATTGATACTTTTCAAGGTTTTTAAAAAACTTTTTATGATTTGAACCTTTGATATAGTCTGAACCCCATTTTATTTGATAAATATGCTTCCATGAAAGCTGAAACAGTCACAATTGGAGACAAAAATCATGCTGTAAAGATTGATAAAGACTGAAGATGGTGTATCTGACTGTGTTTGCAGTATTAAGTTTTATATACATACATATATAGAGAAACAGGAACTTTTTTGTGTGTCGATGAGACTGGTTTATGAAATTTTCTTGGGTTTGATGGGAATTCAGGTAAGAAAAACAGATTTTTTAGTTTCTGCTACCACTTTTATGGGGGGGGGGTTGGCAAGGCAAGTTCCGTCTTTGAAATAGGCATTAACTTCTTTTCTACTTAGTTTTATGAATAGTTTAAAAAACCTTAGACTTTATGAGATAACAGATCTTTACTATTTGTTCATTGTTGAATGTGAGATATGACAATTTTAAAATTGTATCAGAAAGTTTGTTAAATAACTTTTGCAAGGTTTGCTATTACAATTTGCTACCAGACTTAAAGCTTAAATAAGAAGTTTATCATTGGTGTTTTAAAATAAGTATTTGTGTACACTGAAAACTACAAAACATTACAGAAAGAAATTAAAGATGACCCAAATAAATGCAGAGCTATGCTATCTTCATGGATTGGAAGACTCAGATTGATCATCTGTTGACTGAGTGCAATCTCTATCACAATCCCAGTAGGCCTCTTTATAGAAATCGAGAAGCTTATTCTAAAATTTATACAGAAATGCAAAGGATCTAGAAGAGCTAAAGCAATTTTGAAAAAGAACAAAAGGACTTATAAATACCTGACTTCAAAACTTATTATAAAACTGTAGCCATAGACAATTTGATCAATGGAATAGAATAAAGAAGAAATGAACTCAGATATGTATGGTCAGTTTTGACAAAGATGCCAAGGTAATACATTAGAGAAAAGGATAGTCATTTCATCAAATGGTGCTGGAGCAATCAGATATTATTATGGTAAAAAATGACACATAAACCCTTTCTTTACACTAGACACAAAAATGGATCATAAATTTAATGTAAAATTGAAAAACTTCTGGAAGAAATTATAGGACCAACCACCTATATAAGAGCTAAAACTGTGAAAATCTTAAAAGGAAACAAGAATAAATCTTCATGATCTTGGATTAGGCAAAGATTTCTTAGATACAACACCAAAAGCACAATCCATTAAAAAAATTGATAAAATGGACTTTGTCAAAATGAAACACCTTTGAGCTTCAAAAGGCACTATTTAGAAAATGAGAAGACAAGCACTAGACTTGGAGGAAATATTTGTAAGACATATATGTGATTAAGGATTTGAATCCAGAGTATTGTTATCCAGAGTAACAGAGAAGTTACATCTCACTAATGAGACAACCAAATTTTTTAAAAGGGCAAAAGATTTGAACAGACACTTCACTAAAGAAGATATATGGATGGGAGTTAAGCACATGAAAGATGCTCAACATCCTTAGATATTAAAACTACAGTGAGATACCACTAATGTACCCCCTAAACTGGCTGTGAAATAATAGAAAAAATATATGCTGGTCTCTGCCCCAGATTCCTAACATGGGCCTCTTGTAATTTCCTGGGTGATAGGAGTGTCTTTTGTTTCTAATGCGGCAACTAGGTGGGCTCCTAATGGCTCCATGATGAGAGCTGCTTGCTTGAAAGACCAACTCATGTTTAGAGCTTGGGCCCTTCAGCCCTGCCCCCATCCTCTTGAGAAAAAAGGGCTGGAAATGGAGTTAATGATCAATTATGTGTACGTGATGAAACCACTGTAAAAATCCCAAAAGCATGGGGTTTCAGGGAACCTCTGGGTTGCTGAGAGAGTGATGTGCTTGGAGAAGGCATGGAAACTGTGCCCCTTCCCATGTACCTTGCCCTATGTATCTGCCCCATCCGGATGTTTATCTGTATCCTTTATCATATTTTTTTTTGTAATAAACTGGAAAATGTAAGTGTTTTCCTGAGTTCTGTGAGTGCTCTAGCAAATTAATTGAACCTGAGGAGGGGGTTGTGGGAACCACCGATTTGTAGCCAAAGTGGACAGATTGTGGGTAACCTGGGGACCTACTTCTTGAAATTGACACCTGAAGTAGGGGGTAGTCTTGTAGGACTGAGTCCTTAACCTGTGGGATTTTACTTTATCTCCAAGTAAACAGTGTCAGAATGGAGTTAAATTGTAGGTGGTGTCACAGAGAATTGCTTGGTGTGGGGAAAAACCCAGGCATTTGGTGCCCGGAAGAGTTGTGAGTGTGGTAGGGTGTGAGAGGAGAGGAGAAACACAGGAGGAAAAGACTGAGTATTTTTCTTATTCACTGGCTAAAATATATTTAAAAAACAGTATTGTCCTAAGTATTGACGAGATTTAGAGAAACTAGAAACCTCATACATTTCTGGTGGGAATTTAATTGTACAGCTACTTTGGTAAAATTTGGCAGCTCCTTAAAAAGTTAAATATATATCTACTACATATGATTTAGTAAATTCAGTATTAAGTACCCAAAAGAAGTGAAAATATGTCTATACAGACTTCTGTGTAAATGTTTACAACAGTGTTGTTCATAATAGCTAAAAACTGTAAACAGTTCAGTTGTCCATCAACTGATAAATGCATGTATACAATGTGATTTTCCACGTGATAAAATACTACTCAGCAAAAAAAGAATGAACTGCTGATAGATGGCAACAAAATGAATGACTTCAAAAACATACTAACCAAAAGAAGCCAGTTACATAAGATTACACATTGAATGATTCTGTTTATTATAAATTTCTAGAAAAGGCAAAACTTTACAGATGAAAGTAGGTTGGTGGTTGCCTGCATCTGGACATGGGAACAAAGATTCACTGCAAATGGGTCCAAGGATATTTTTTAAGGTTATAGCCGTGTTCCAGACTGGATTGTGAAGATTGCGTACGCAGTTGTTAACATTTACTAAAATTCATCTAACTTAATTAAAACAGGTGGATTTTATGGTGGATACATTATACACCAATAAAACATGTAAAACCATGTGGGTATTTAATAAAAGGAAAAGGGGGGAAGAGAAAATAATGAAATAATTTTTTGTTAAAAGTGGAAATAATTTTTAAAGAATCGACTAATTAAAGGAAAATATAATCTTTCCTTAGAGATTTTTACAAGATGATACCAAATGGTTATGACATGTAATTTTTAAAAATGTGTTCTTAAATTAGAACATTTTTAGGTTCATTGCAAAATTGAGGGGAAGGTAAAGAGATTTCCAATGTACCCCGCCCACCCCCGCCATCTGACAAATGCACAGCTTTCCCCACTATCAAAATCCCATACTAGAATTATTTTTCTTCGAACAGTTTTATTGAGAAATAGTTCATATACCATATAATTCAACCATTTAAAGTGTGTAGTTCAACAGTTTTTAGTATATTCACAGAGTTGTGCAACCATTGCCGCTACTTAATTTTAGAATATTTTCATTCCCTCAAAAAGAAACTCCATGCCCATTAGAACTCCTTCCCCGTTTACCCTAGCCCTTCCATCACTACGCAACGACTAATCTACTTTCTGTCTCTGGATTTGCCTTTTCTGGGCATTTCATATAAGTGACTGGCTTCTTTGCCTTAGCATAATGTTTTCATCCGTGTGTGGCATGTAGCAGTACTTCATTCTTTTTTTATGGCTGAGTTATGTTCCATTGTATAAATGAATATGCCACATTTTGTTTATCCATTCATTAGTTCATGGGTATTTGGATTGTGTCCACTTTTTGGCTGTAGTAATCCTACTGTGAACATTTGTGCACAGATTTTTTGAGTGGATATGTTTTCATTTTGCTTGGGTATATGCCTAGGAATGGAATTTCTAGGGAGTCGTTAATTTTAACTATCAGAGATTGCCAAGGAATATTAAAACTAGATGTGTAGGCAGTCCCTGACAGGCGCTGGTTCCTGGATGTAATCTGAAGAGGAAACATTCCAAGTTGAGGTGGCCTGGTTTTAGTAACCTGGATCCCCTGCTGGGAGGTTTTATTTGTTTTGCTTTGATCTTAAAATTAAATTTCAATTTTTGGCTTATTTTCTTATAATTTGCTTATTTCACACACAAGTGAAGCCCAGAGGGGAAAGTGCAACTAATTTGAGTACTCCATTATGTTAGGTAGTAACTGATAACTGATTGTGTTTTTATATACTTAGAAGCTAATGGTAGGCTAATTTTCGTGCATGGCTTGTGGAATCAGATGTATTAGTAGTGGAG